CGCAATAAAGGTTGTATGAGTGCAAAGAGCCATTACCATCTGGAAGAAACCATTAAGAAGAAATATATATTATTAAAAAAGACCGGAACAGAAATGGATACCTCATGCAATTAGTTGACAAAATACTAGAAAGCCGGCTGAATCGGCTGAAATCGGCTGAATCCCATAGAGAACAAAAAACCTCTCTCTTAAAATGAATTAGTCAAAAATAACTAATTATAAGTCATATTTGACTAATTGTCATAGCGAAAAAGCAGTCACTAATAATTAGTCAAATTCCACTGAATGAAATAGTCAAATTAGTAAGTTTATATTTAAAAAAAGTTTTGACCCAGCCTGGGATTGAACTCAGGTCTGTCACTTGACAAGTTTGTCAAGCTAACCTCATAACGCATTCGGCTGTCAGCCGCTCTTATAAAAATCAATTTTATTTCAATAAATATTGTTCATAATATTTTAAAGTTTAATATATTATTTGTGTTGCTGTTTTAAGCTAAACTTTTTGCATCTTTATTTGTTTTATGGGTCATTTAACCATGGAGAGGTATATGCATTTAATTCAAATAATACTTGTTGTTGGCCGTAAACGATTAAAGAAATTAGTCACTTTTAACTGTCAGAAATAGTCAAATATGGTGACTAATCTTAAATTAGTCAAACTTTAACTATTTACGTACATTATCATAGTTCTACTTTACTTACACATCGTATTTTTTCTTACAACATGTTGTAACACCCAAAAATGCAAATTTTTCTTAAATGGCGTTACTGCTTTTAGAATGTTTGACTAAAATACACATATTAGGTATATACGAGGTGTGTTCAGAAAATAACGGGAATTATTAAATTTCGCGGGTTCGGAGGCTCCGGTTGTCATAAAATTTTCTTTTATGTTGGTATACATGCCCCCGAAGTTTGATAAAAACTTTAGCTGTTTTCATTGTTTACTTTGTCGGTGGCAGCCGCTAAGGTTAGACGTGTTTTATGAGCTCGGCGATTTTTCGTTCGTTAAAAGAAATGGATCAAAGAATTTGTATCCAATTTTGCTTAAAAAATGAAATAAATTCTGTGAAATGTTAACAAAGGCCTATAGTGAGTCTGCTATAAGTAAACCAAGAGTTTACAGGTGGTATAAGAGTTTCCAAGATGGCCGTGAAGACGTTGAAGATGATGAACGCCCCGAACGCACAAGCACATTAACAACCGATAAAAACATGAAAAAAGTGGAAGAAATGGTTATACTGGAAAGTCTGTGTTTGGTATGTGTTTTTCTTTATTTGGTTGTATATTGATCGTAATCGTTTTTAAAATAAAGCAAGATCGCAAAGTCAGCGAAAAAAATTTAATAAGGTGTTGTTTCGCAGCCGAGCGGAGAAAAATATTAAATGAAATTAAATTGGATTTTCTGGCATGACCAAATGCAATTCTTCCGTTGAAATAGGAGAGACGCGACGAAGAGGACTGGCCCATCAAATTGATAAGGGACTTGCTTTGGGAATTTATAGCATTCTTCGGAATGTTGGCGTGCCGTCACCTTCGCGGCGGGGGCGGGGGGATTCCGGAGGGGCAAACGAGAAGGTCCGTCTATTATTTTAACTGAGAACCTCCAGATGTTCGGTTTATTTTGCGGATGGGGTCGGCGTAGACCTCAGATTGGCGCATTTATTGCGGTAATTTCCACAGATGAAACAACTCTCTCAGGTACACGCCGCATTTCCAGATCCATTCTCAGCACATCATTTCCGGATTATTAATATGAATAAATTTTAATTCCAACGTACATCCTGAATTATAGCGAATGTTTATTGATGCGAAAATCGAGTTTCTATAAAATTAAAATTAAAAACTACACTGTTCAAAATTTTATGACCATTTTAACACCAAATTATCACCATACATGGTCTATATCGATACAAACCAAAATGGTGTTAAATATGGTTCGTTGGTCCGGTGTAAATTTAAATACTAAAATAGTGTTAATTTAACTTTCACACAGTATTAAAATAAATTTTACCTGGTGTAAATTGAACTCCTTCTCGGTGTTAAATATAATGTGTTTGTGGTCAAATTAAATCATACTACACAGAAAAAAGGAAACAAAAAGGAAACAGGAAGTTCCTTGACGCATTACTAGTATATTAACAGTGGTATTATTATTATTTTTTATTCCAGAAATTGAACCTTCAACTCGCCAGAGATACTGTTTTTAGTGCGTTCCACCAACTTAAATTAGTTTAAGTATTGACAGCTGTTTCCTATTTAAGGTCTCTTTAGTATCGAACAACTTGTAGTGTCACACCATATTCTTCATGTAAGTCAACAGAGGCAAGATTTAAGAACATCACGTGATCCACACCGCCTTTGCCGCGATCGGTACACACTATGCAACCGGGAATGCACGGAAAATTGTTTTAATCGTTTTAACAGAGTGCTTTAGGTTGAAGTAACTCTTATTTCACAAACAACAAATTTAGTAAAGTAAACCATACAGGTTGGTTTCACTAAAGTTTTCTGGGTTAATTAAACCAATTTAAAAAAAATAAAATAACTATCTGGTTTAGTACCATCAGACTAATCTTTGTTTATATTAACCTTCCCACAAAATAAAAAAAAATACAAAAATAAATACTTATGGGTCAACCAAATTAATATAGTTAAATGAACTATTCCTTTTTTTCTGTGTAGGTGCACTTCTCAAATATTTTTAGATAAACACCGTTTTGGTGTTTGATGTATATAACATTTTTAACCAAAATTCATGGTGTTATATTAACACCACTTGGTGTTGGATTTTGACACCATTTTAAGATTACTCTTTACACCACAGATATTTTAAACAGTGTATATCTTAAGGTTGTATACCTGGGTGTTCTCTGAAAAAACTGAGGGCATATCCATACCTCAAATTTAAAAAAATATAATTTTTTAAACAAATTATTGTAGTTTTTAATGATAAAATGATATTTGGTAAGCATAATAAGGAGTTTAAGCATTTTGCTTTGTTTACAATTACTTTATTTATGCATTGGTGGGGATATTGGTAAAGTACAACATTTAATTGCTTGTATTACACAAATTATCTTATAAAACTTAAACAAATATCCGAATATTGCACACATAAATAAAAGTAAAAATAATTTCATAATAAATGTTCATCTTAAAATTAGATTAGAGGTTAAAAAATACCCTGTATACAGGAATATATTTTCTATAGTTTTTGTCAAAGTTCTTTAAAAATAATGGTGTACTTAACTTTCTTTTGATTTACAAAGTTTGGCTTTGGCTTTAAATTCTTGTCCATTTAGTAAAAACTATAGTAGCTAACAATGTTGTTTACAAACATAATACAATTATTAAAATATTTAGATTTTTTCTTCTTTATTATTTGGACAGTTGGAACTTATAAGGGTAAACTTCTAAACTGGACCAATATATGTGCTTTAATTAAACTAGTTTACAAAATTTGTTGTTCCACCAATAACCAAAAGTTAAAATTTCGTGCTTATTCGTGCTCTAGATGAAATGAAATTTTGAAAGAATGCACTATGTCTGAACAATTTATTACAAATATTCAGCTATTTGATGTCAAGTTAATCCCAAAGCAACAAACAGCAAAAAAAACTTTTCATAATATACTGTTAAATCCTAAACTAAAACATGTCATGATTCCTGCAAGGTAACAACGCGATAAATTGACATAAAGTAAAATAATTTTCCTTCATATGCTTTGTAGACAAAATTTTATATACAATCTTAACTAATTCTTTATTGACGGTTTTGTCACCTACCACTTTAAGGGCTAAGTTTTGACTATAGAGCCATAAAAATAAAAAGCGATCAGGTTGTATATTTTCAATTTTGCCTCGGATTGTAATGGGTTAATTTCTAACGTAAATAATTAAAAATGGGATATTTAGGTACTAAAAACTGAAAAATAGGTAACTAAAAAGGTACTAAAAAAAGCATTTTAGGTAAAAAAAACATTAAAAGTTCAAGTTTCGTTTATAATTTTGTTTAGTCGCATAACCCATAACACAGAACATACCCACAATAAACTATTTCTATACACTGAGAAGAAAGTTTATGGTTCCCAAATAAAAAGAATAATTAAATATGGGACAGAAGCATTGTTTATTTATCCTAAATATATTTTTATTCTTAACACTTATAGTTTTACTAAAGTAAATTTATCGTTATTATTTCGACTATTTAGAGGTAATAAACAATATTTTCACTATTAATAAAAAGTATTAGCAACACAGTTTATTTGTCCCATTTTTTCTCAGTGTACAATAAACTGTTTCACTGAGTTACACTCACTACATAGAAGTTCTATGACAGAACATAAGCTCACTACAAAGAAGGTAACTGTAAAGAAAGTTACTGTTACAGTCTGTGACTATAAGAAAGAATTCTATACCGTTGAGTTGCACGCCCTGGATAAAATATTGGCGCAAAATTTAAAAAGAACACAAAAAAATAAAATAAATAAAAATACTTAAAAATAGGTAACAAATAGGTAAAAATAAACTGACAAATTAAATGGTACAAAAGTATAAAAAGGTAGTTTAAAGCAAAAACCTCCAAAAAAGGTGAAAACAAGTTAAAAAAATAGGTAACAAAAGTATAAAAAAGGTAGTTTGAAGCAAAAACCTCCAAAAAAGGTAAAAAAGGTAAAAACAAGTTAGGTTCATGTAAAAGAAAATCTTTTAAAACAGATTTTGGCATTATTGGTTTTCAAATAGTTACATCGATTAAAAAGGGTAAAATAACTAAAATCCCATCCCTAGTAATAATTCCACTTTTGTTGATATAAACTACAAAAATACACTTCTCTCATTGCTCCGGTAGCTTCTGTATTCCCGTTAATAGACATACTTTTGGTTGTCGACCTTGCCAATTTTACATTGCAACCTTCACTTCATTGCGTGCCTTTCAAGAACTATTTGAGTGACCCAAAAGAGATGATAGTCACTTGAGGACAAGACTTAGTCTTAGTCTTAGTCTGGGCAATATCCCCTGTGAGGTAGGACTTCCCAGTCCAATTCAGCCCATGTATTGGTCGTTAGAAGTGGTTTTTGCTGATGTTCTGCGAAATGTTTTTTGGGAATCCACCTGGCGTTAACTTTACTAAATTTTAGCTTGTCGTGGAAAATAATATAATTACTATTAACACTAATATTTACAATCCCAGCAACCAAGCTGGTCAACTTTTTGAATATTCACAGACTCGCATTTATGACCGTCCTGGAAGGAATTACATCACTTAAAGACTTCTTCAATCTGTTTATAAAGCATCTGATGAAAATTAGTCGCTTTTGTACCTCCGTTGAAAAAAAATAATTACACCTTTCACACAATCAAGTTCAGGTTTATGAGGTTAGCTAACTTCCCACTTCGATGAATATAAAACCGAGTTGCCCTTGTATTTTGAGTTTTTATATTTATTTTTTTAAAAAAACATTGCAATTTTTGAACTTTTTAGAACTAAGGTTGCTATGGTCTATCCATAGGCTATGGAGGATGACAGTGACAGTTTTGTTGAATCATCCCATACTTGGACATGTCATATACGGCTTTTAAAAGCTATCAAATTGTTTTTTGCAAATTAATGTTTTACTTTAGGTGTCTTCTTACTTTTAAAAATGGATATGTCTCCGACTGATGTTGCCAGAGCCATTGATTTAATTCAAGATGGACGGTCACAGTATTACGTGGAAAGTGTTTTAAACGTCACAAGTACAAACGGCAACATCAGTCGGAGACATATCCATTTTTAAAAGTAAGAAGACACCTCAAAATTAACACATTAATTTACAAAAAACAATTTGATAGCTTTTAAAAGCCGTGTATGACATGGCCAAGTATGGGATGATTCAACAAAACTGTCACAGTCATCCTCCATAGGCTATGTTTTTTCGCGTTGAAAAAATATTGGTGAACCAAAAACAATACTGTTAAAAATAGATGACCTTGATTTAGAGTGTCTTAAACTTATGTTAAAAAACATATTTTTGTTCAAACCTGTATATTATAAACGAACGTATATTTTTTGGTAATTTTTAAAATTTTAGCAATTCTCCATTAATTTATCTACAATATTCTTTAATATTTGTTTAAATCCGAAATCATATAAAAAACTTATTTGCGATTGAAATTCATCTCAAATTTGTGTGGATCGATTATTTTGCCTGTGAGTGTAGTTGTAATGAAATATTAATATTAAATCATTAGGCAATAAGTATTCGGATTTAGTAACAAAAAGGAAAAAATATTTTATTTAAAACCACAAAACAGGCTGTTATTCTTAATAGTATTATTTAGAAATAATAAAGATTATCACGTCACGCGCCAAACAGCACGGAAAACCATCGACTTATTTGAAATAAGATTTGCTTATAAGTTGATAAAGAGAAATTAACCTGTCAACTGGCTACTAAGACACGTACTGATTATTTACTGTCAAATATTAATTGGTTTATGCTAATAAACCAGCAAGAATCGACACAGGAGTAGTTAAATTTGGTGATTTAGGGGGAAAAACCAAATCTAGCATATAGAAGGTTCGAAATAATTGAAGATATATTTAATTTAAAGGTTTTTAATCGTAAAACGTTTCAAATTAATTTGAAATACGTATACGTATGTATACATACCAAGATATTTTAATTTAACTTTTATAATATGGAATGATTTTTATTTAAATAACATTTTTAATATTAATTCCAAATTATAAAATATCATGTGCATAGAACATACAATTTCTTAAAATCAATATTTTAGTCGGTTTATCCACATTTTACCGCCTTTAAAAATATTAAAATCCCTTTTCCGACATAAAAATATGAATAATAGTCTCGGTAAACTGCAGTGAATAAACTAAAACAAAATATTAACAAGAGTTTTTAACCCTTTCTCCTTATACCGCATGTATTAAATATTTGGAACAAAAGCCTGGGATATATTTTACATGCATTTTCTGAAAAATCTATGTTTTTAAATATTATCTGATAGTAAATAGTTTTTTTATAAGAGTTATGCTTTCAAATTAAGTTATCGATCAAATTAGGTTTCAATTCGAAAATATCATCGATGATAATCATACCACTTGTTATATTATGGGTGACGATATGACTAAGCTGTCAATACATTTTTTGAATTAGGTGAGTCCGGTGTTCTTTAAAGTTTTTACGAAAATTGTTTTTAGAGGTACTTATTTATAAAAGTAATTGTGTCATTGTTGTTTTTTAGCCCTGACGAAGAGAGCAGTAAATGCCCTCGAAACTTTGGCGAATTTAAAATAAGTTTTTAATTTTCCTGTCCGAATACCCACAAACCTAACCTCAAAAAAAAATATATTAATATTTTTCTCTTTAAGTCAAGTTATATAACTCGATAAATGATACAAATTAGTGCTTCATCAGTGACAATATTCACAACTACAAAATTATAACATTCATTCATCGCTAGACACAAGATTTGAACCATAGACAATAGAAATGAAATTAATTCTGAAATAATATTTGTAGTTTGATGCAGCCGGGGGCTTCAATTGAAGTTTGTAAGGTGGAATGAAACTTTGCAGTTACAGCGCCGGTAATTTTAGCGAAATTGCCAAACACTGTGGATAGATAGCGGAATTGTTGGGATAATATATAATATATACACTCAGGTAATCGTTTCCACTTAGATTAATTTTAAATAATCATGATTGCGTGAAGGAAAATTTAGTATAGATAATAGTTAATTTTCCAAATTTCGTCACCGTAGTTTTTTTAAAACTATGAATTCCTTTAGAACTTCAGGTTTTTAAGAAATTTTAACCAAAAAAGTAGAAAAAAGCGTTTAATTACACAAAATGCAAATGCAGCATAGGACTCTTCCTTTTTAAAATCATTTTTATATTTTTCCAATATCTTAACTATAGTCTCAGAGAAATCGTTATTTGTTATGATTTAAACGATAAATAAGTTTTTTAGAGAATACATAAATCCTCAGATATTAAAATACTACATTTTTGCAATTCTGAGAAAATACTTTTATTAAATGGTTCAATTACTACAAACTGTTTTTAAATATAACAATTAAAAAGAGTTACATTCTTAAGTTTCTTATTACATTTGGAAATAACGTGTAACGATATTGTATTAAGGTTTATTAAGTAAACGACCTTTTTATCTCCCTGTATAACTATTTAAGTTTACTAGATTAATTCTCAAAAACTTTGTATTTTTAGATTTTCTTCCACAGTGCTTGGCTTTATTCCGAACGATGGCGTAAAAGCAAAACAATAAAATCAAATCAAAACTTACCTGTTAGTTGTTGTGACGGCCGTCATTGGTGACCTTGCGGGGTACTGGGAACCCCCCAGCGGGTTCACAGTTCCTCCTCCACTAACTGCGTATTCCGCTCCTGAAACAAGAATTATTGCTACAGAAGTCTGTGTTTATTTTCCGGAGATAGAAGAAAATCTTATTACTTTTCAAGCTACTTTCTGTATCTTATAAGACGCAAGTTGTTCATTCACAAACAAATTTAAGTACTTGGTAAAATTTAAAGGAAACTTTATAGAATTTACAGGATTTCGTATAAATTATGAGACCAAACAAACCAAAACTATAAATACAGAAAGTAAATAATATGAAACCTAAGTTTTAACCATAATATTATTTATAAATAATAAATTAAATAACTAAAAAAATAGTTTATGTGAGCTCAAAGTTTAAATTCCGACGCTCAGCGAAGGCCTACAATTGAGCGAAGCACAAAGAGACTTCTCAGCCGTATGGCATACAACATTTTACCTTCGAGGCATACATTTATTTGTGAAACAATACATGGAACCTACAATAATTATTTTAATATTTATTAGATTAGATCTGACAGTTGTTTGGTTCAAACGGGTTTTTTACAGCTAAGAGGTAAAAACTTGATTTTGCTTTCAAGGAAGAGGAGGAGGAATTACTCCAATAGGTTTATGATGTTCTGCAACTCAGGATAAGAATGTGTTTTAGGAAGTTGCACAGAGAAAAAGCTTTTATATTGTGAATGGGTTAACCATTGAGCCAATGGTATACCTTATTTGCAATACCTGAATTACAGCTATGATCAAATGAATGATTGTCTTACTTTTATTTGTACAAACCTGCTTAAAATTAGTTCAAACATAAGAAGTCCTTGAATTAAATTGTTATTCTATTAAATCCGTATTAAAACTTGGTTGGTTAAAACATAAGAAATTATTGAATTAAATTGTTATTTAATTGAAGCCACAATGAATCTTAATGTAAAACTATCATTGGCATAAATAAAGTTATGGTTTCTAATGAATGGCTACATTAAATGCAATCAAAGCTCTATTTCCTTTAAATAGATATATTCTTGTGTAAATCTTAGTTGTATAATACATTAATATGAACTTTAAATAAAATGAATACTGGAAACTGCTTCTGGTAGTCTTGTGTACAAAGGTTTTTCGATCCATAAAATGAAATTGTTCTGTTTTAGGTAGGAACTATTAGGAACCCACTAGAAGTGTTGGTGATATTAGGCTCTAAGAAAGTTGCTGACCCATCACTAGCAACAGTTACTGTACTGGATGTGCAGGATCTGTCTGACAGGGCACATGGTTATTCTAAAACGGAATAGGAATTTCATCTTATGTATTTAGAGGCGAATCCTAAAGATTGCTGAATGTTCTAGAGCAAGTATATAAAGGGGCATTTTTAATAATAAAGAAGAGATAACATTGTGATTGTAAATAAAAATAAATTTAGTATTGCAAATACAATATCTGTTATCGTTTAAATTATTATTAAAAATGTTACTTAACCCCTTCATGCACTATAATTATGTCGCACCATCGTAATTTAATCCCAAGTGCGTCTCGGACATTCCTTCAGCATGTCTATGGTATTGTACCGGCTTTTTTAAACATTTTTCTTTAAGATTGACCTCACTCAATAATTAATAGGGTTTAAGTCAGGAAAATTTGAAGGCCAAATATCTTCTCCCTAAACACAGAAATTTAACGGAGCTAATAAAACCATCTTGACCAAAGTATTTTAAGTCTCAAGTCCAAATTATTCATAAGAACTATCTGTTACTACGAGACTGTTAGTAGGTGGTAGTATTTCAGTATACAAAAACCATTTAAATATTGCTAGTTGCTAGATTCCAGCCAAAATATGGGAAATGGTACAAGTGAAAGTTTTTTCTTGGCAGTTGGTAAAAGTTTTGGAATTATAAAATGGTTGAAGCGTCAAAAAAAAAGTCTTAATAGTTATAATAAAATAAAAAGACAAATAATTTTACATTTCTTAAACTTTTGTCGTTTAGTTATTAAAAGTAAAGTATTAAGGCCATACTTTTCTTACTTTTTGTTTGTTATTTTTTAGTGGATCGATTAATTTAATTGTTTTGACATTTTTAAGGTTTGAAAATTGACCATTTGCACGCTTTTAAAGGTAGTAAAATTAAAATGACTTTACTTAGGAAGTAAAATGGTTTGCACTTTCGTATCAAAGTTTTTTACAACTTTTTTATTGGCGTCAACGTCCGGATTTCACACTAAAAATAAGGTAAAATATACTTTGTTTCCAGAGCAATTATATTTTATAGTTAAGATAGGGATCAAAGTAAAATAAATTTACATTTTAAAACCAAACGGTTCTAAAAGGCTAATTTTAACAACCAATTATAAAATTAATCGATATACGCTTATAATAAAAAAACACTGATTTTTAGCTTTGTGCATTTGAGTATGAAGTTTAAAAAACTCAATTCCAATCCGTTTTGGAAATGACGTGTAAAACAGTGATGCAATTTCGTAAAAATTTGGATAAAAAGTATGAAAGGGTATTATAAAGTGAATGACACCAATGACATTTTTAAACACATTTGTCTTTATTGTGTTTATTTGGACATGGAGTAAACTGCAAAATGTGGTAATAAAAGTTCATTTTTTTGCAGTTCCAATTGCAATTTTATGTTAATCATTTGTAGAAATTGATTGTGCTTTTTTAGAAAAAATAAGTTAAGGGAACTTAAATCGCCACTTCTCGCTGACCAATTTTAGAGAGCCATCATTGTTTTTATTCTGTTAAAAACAGTGATCGCAATGTGGGCGACAAAAAGTTGTCTCGTTTTCATTCTGTATGCTCGCTCTGGTTGTCCAATCATCAAAACTCATGAAAAAAAAGGTTATTAAGAGAGTATAAGCAGCGTACACAATAATAAACAGTAAACAAATATTTGTTAATTTGAACCAAAAATTAACCAGATTTTATGTTAATCATCACATAACTAACTTTTTCTACTCCAACCTTTAAAACGTCCATTATCGTACACGTTTCCATGACACATTGACAAGTTGTGGCTGAAGTTAGCAACAGGTTTTTAGTCACAGGCTGAAGTTAGCTTTAAGCTACTTGACAGTTAATACTAAATGTGAAAATTGTTTTATTATAAAATACAAAAGCATTAAATAGTTTCTCAGCGACAATATTTGCAAAGTTTATAGGAACATTGTACTGAATTTCACCGGCAGTAAACTATAGTTTAAGTTATATTTATAAATATAACTTAAAATCGGGCTCGGACTCCACCGTGAAGTGCTCATAAAACATTTTCTTTACTTTCACTGTGAAAAACTGTTGTTTAATCCATTTTCAGAATATACATTTGTACAAATTTGACATTTGACGGTAACGCAGATTCCCCTATTGTTTTGTAGATGGCCCTATGTACAAATACTTTATTTAAATCATTTTTAGATAATAATAAGTATTTGTCGTAGAAAAAGTATAGTATGCAACTCGTTTATAAACTTTTCTAGAAACTCATTAATTTATGCACTCGCTCGCATGCTCGCTCGTGCCTAAATTAAATTCGTGTCTGAAATGGCATTTATCAAAGTTGATGCATAATATACCTGTTTATAACCAACTGTAATCTATAGTATTTTGTAGTTTTAATAACAAGTTCAACCAAAATTCTTGTACTTTAAAAAATGAACTTATTTTTACAAACCTTTTTGTAGACTTAGTAACAACAGTATTTGTTGGAAAGTGAAAACCTAAATGAAAAGAAAGAAGGTAATTTTTCTTAACAAAAAGATACATACCTACACTTACTGATGTATTTTGTAACTTTTACAAATTACAAACTCATGTTAACAAATCTGATTTTTATATTTTAACAGTTAAGTTAAGAGTTAAGATCATTTGGTTTAGCCCAGAAACAATAGAGGTTCTTAACTAAAGGAGGGCTTTACCTGAAAAATAATAAAAGTTCATCTAAATGCTTGTTTTATTTCTTGATAAACTTTTTAAAGTGACCAATCTTTCTAAAATCAAATTTCCTTGGACGAATACACATACATTTCACCTCGATGAAATCAAATCAGTTTATTATCCTGTTGGATGTATTAAGGAAAATGAAATATGACCGCCAGTAATAATGTAATCTTAATTACAAATAAATTGGTAATATGTATCTTAATTACCAATACATTGGTAATATATTTGCTACTGTGGTTATGCGGTAAACCAAAATCCTATATTGAATAGTTTTACAATTAATATTCATTCAAATAAAAACCTATATAAAAGCGCACTGCGTGACTAACTAAATTAAAATCAGTATTTGAATTGAAGCGTGAAACCGTGATGTTTTCAGTCCTAGCGGCAATTCGATTTTAAAACCCGTCGAATTTTGAAGCGGACAGTGATTTTACGCGTATCGATTGAGGGGAATGGCGAAGTTTATTCCGGCCGGTCGGCTGTCTTAAAACGGCCAGCGCTGCGCGGCAGATTCGCTTCAATAAACATTCATTACCTGACGTCTTCCGATTCCACGCGAAAGCATTGTTGCCAAATTAACGACCAGACAATGCAAACTGCCATGGAATGCTGATTTCGCTGGTGCTGGTGGTGGTGGTTTAGGTGGTGGTCATGGAAGCAGCGAATTGAAGTGTTGCGCTTTTGTCATAAATCCTGCACGGGATTTATATTGTTTTCCACTTACTCGACCCTAATAAACGATTTCGAAATAAAATAAAATTATACGCGAAATTAAAAACGAAATATTGAAATTTTATGACTACACTGATAAAAATCAGATTTGTAGTTTGTTAAGTTTTTTGTAAAGTTAATATGCAATTTTGTAAGCATTTTGTTAATTTTAAAGGTTCCAGATAATTTTGTTAATGTTTAACAAATTATTTCGTTAAAACACTATGATAGTTTTAGAAACTTGTATTCCTAACATTGAGTACTCCAGCTTAGTTTAACTAATTTTGGGCCCCTGATTTCAAAAATGTCATTCGTTTTTCTCTAGGACGTCTAGGATTTAAAATAATTTCGTAATAAAATGCTCTGCTCAATCACCTAAAAATTTAAGTTTTCTGTTAG